ACAATGGCATCAAGTCTGCGATCAAGCCCGAGACATCTGCCGATCACTCCGGTCATGTGTACTAGTCAGTAGCCACTTATACCCACGACCTAGCGTGGGAATCCTCAGAGTTTCTTCTCTTCGGATTCCCCTCGCTAGGTGCATATCTTCTTGTATTTAGCTACTTCTTATTCATACTTCGGATTCCCTCGCTAGCCCTTGAGATTCTCGGTCTGGAGGTTGCCCTTACACTCACGATGACATTGATGTGTACAGATAAAGATCAGATAGTCTCCATCATTCGGAAGACATACTCATAGCCCCAGACAGTATATATTTCATGACACGTCCTCTTTTTCACCTCCGAGTGTAAGCAGTCCGAGCCGCGTTCTAGACCGCTACACCAAAAGGTAGATAATTGATTAGATAGTACTAATCAATCGCGCGGCTATATAAGGACTTCGGGATGTGTCGTAATCAGCATGATTACACCCTTCCCCTCCCTGAAGAACTGTATCCCTTCCCTGTGTTCCCGATGGTAACAGAGACTGTGTGGGTTTCTTCAGTGGTTCCAGGTCTTATAAATCAACCCCAAGGTTTCGATCCTTGCTGCGGCTCTCGAGGTCACGTGATCGGTAGTCCCGGTGACCACCGGCCTTTTGCCATTTTCATGTGTAAATGGTGCTGGGGCGGGGTTCGAACTTGAGTGACCCTTGCCAGCATTATCTAATCAATTATCTACCTTTTGGTGTAGCGGTCTAGAACGCGGCTCAGACCTGCTTACATTAATTGATTAGATAATGCTGGCAAGGGTCACTCAAGTTCGAACCCCGCCCCCAGCACCATTTACACATGAAAATGGCAAAAGGCCGGTGGTCACCGGGACTACCGATCACGTGACCTCGAGAGCCAGCAGCAAGGATCGAAACCTTGGGGTTGATTTATAAGACCTGGAACCACTGAAGAAACCCACACAGTCTCTGTTACCATCGGGAACACAGGAAGGGATACAGTTCTTCAGGAGGGGAAGGGTGTAATCATGCTGATTACGACACATCCCGAAGTCCTTATATAGCCGCGCGATTGATTAGTACTATCTAATCAATTATCTACCTTTTGGTGTAGCGGTCTAGAACGCGGCTCGGACCTGCTTACATTAATGTTCTAGACCGCTACACCAAAAGGTAGATAATTGATTAGATAGTACTAATCAATCGCGCGGCTATATAAGGACTTCGGGATGTGTCGTAATCAGCATGATTACACCGAGCACCTTAAGAACACCACTTGATTTATGGGCCCCGCAGTCTCTTTCGATGTGAACAGCACTCTAGGTAGGCGCGGGCAGCCTTGAATCTAATAACTTTCGCTGAATGAATAATTTTCTATTTTTTTTGCAGGTGCCGTCGAAATCGGTGTCCTTGTCTCCTATTTCAGTTATCTGGGCTGGAGTACACCCCTAGTTATAGGATTTAGTCTAGTGGCATGGAGCTAGCCAAAGGAAATGTTGTCTAAATCCACGACTCTAGCCATGGATGGCTAGGTCCAAAGACTTTAGGCTCTTGGCACATTAAAATAATAAAAGGCAGGGGCGGGAATCGAACCTAAAAGGTGATGGTACTGCTTACATTATAGTAATGAAAGCAACACCATATAGAACTGAGCCAAACTAGAATTGATATGTGGTGAAAGTAATGGGAATAAGGTCTGACATTACAATCACGTAATTATCGTGTCTGTTCACCTATTATGGCCCGCATAGGGCCATAGGTTAATGTTGGGGTTAGTGGTTGGAGTTAGAGTTGGGGGTTAGGTGTCAGGGTCCCAAGGTATATGAATTTTGGTTGGTTAGGGTTTTGGTTAGGATTGGTTGGGGTTGGTTAGGTTAGTTAGGGTTTTTAGTTAGGGTTGGTTAGGGTTGCAGGTGGTTCCAAAAAGAAGAGAATAAGCAGTGTAATATACTTTCAAAGACCTAGGGCAGCTTGCCTGCCCTAGGTGTGGGTATAAGCAGTCCCAGGTAGGGTAAGGCTAGCCTTACCCTAGCTGGGAACGAAAGAAAAAGTATATCAGCTATATAGTCTAGATGGTTTGTCCACTCACTAGTAATATTGTCCAGTCTCCGAAGGTTGAGGGTTCAATTCCCTCTGCAGCCATTCATTTTGCCTCTATTTTAAAGAGGGATACTTTAGCCTTTCGTCATGGACCTAGCCAACTGGATGGCTGGTGCCGTGGATTTAGACAACACTTCCTATGGCTAAGTCCATGTACATTAGACTAAATCTTAGTGCTATGGCTCTGGAGTAATGTTCTCCCAAGACGTGAGTCTCCCTTCGTATATCAAGGCCGAGATCTAACTCCCTCCACAGTGTTCTCGAACTCGCTCTTGGCTAGGTATATTGACTACCCCATTGGACAGGGAAACTATAAGCTAATGCAGGGTTTCATATGTAGTCTGAATTCCAGGATGACCCTCCGCGCAATGAACGAAGTTCCCCTGCCATCGTTGCACTTCACGTCTGAGGTAAGTCTTATGTTTCTGGCTTTTGTCCTCCAGATGGCGACTATGACGCAGATCACATGCGATGAGGCGACCCACGGGGAGTGGAACAAAGCAGCGACTGAGAATATCTAATATATTTACCCTGATCGTCTGTGTGATTAAAAAAGAATGGTCCTTTTCAATTCAAGGACCTGCGCCGGCACAGCATCGCGTACACGATTGGTTGTCACTGCGCTCTTTCGCTTTCAATGTGAGCCCCATTGAACTGGATGCAACAAGTACTTACGACTTGACTTTTTCACTTTGAAATTTCGACTCGGAACAAATTTAAACCGTGGGACTCCCGGATCAATATTTTAAAATTCCGTCAGTTGAGCTTCTTCGTCTTTGTTGCGCCTTTTCTTCTTCAACATATTTTTAATTGCAGTTTGTAACGTAATGGTACTCAAAAATCTCGAGGAATAAGATATATTTTGATTCCGCCGGTTTTGACGCTCGTTTCTCGCTCAATTCTTGACCGATTATGTTCATTGTGGGCTGCACCGCGCTGGAAGTCCATCGTCGCTTCCAACTCTCAAATCCACTTCTCCGGCTCATTTTCATGCTCTCATCCAGTCTTCTCTCGTCTTCAAAGTTGAAATCACACCGCATCAGGAAAAATTCCAAATTACTATGGATTCCAAGTTATGAGGTGTTGTACAGACATACACAGACCCTATAGACCCTATAGCAATCTGTATATGGCCATCCATAGTGTCTATGAATCTCTATGTGGGTAACTCTCACTTAGTAATTTGGCCCGGTTTTCATGATGCGCGCCCGTACGTTGGTCTACCCCACGAGATAGACCTCACTCGCAGATTCTGAACGCCTCCCCACCTGACACATATCTGTGCTTCCCGCTTGCCCTCACCTCTGAATTTGACTCACATAAGTTTCTTCAGTACCTAGCTTTAGTATTAATAAATATCCAATCTCAGGATGTCTGAATCGTTTACTCCGAGAACACCGAAACTACCCGCAGTTGCTTTACACGCACTTTTTTCGGCCCTTCTATCGGTACACAAATATAAAGATTCTCCGCAGCATCCTCCGACTCCAACCTGTGGCCAATGCATGTCCGCGGCCCACGTGAGCCCAAACGGCCGACCCATCACGATGCTTGGTCAGAACGCCGAGTAAATAGGAATCTTCTCGCGCTGTTGGTGGGGAGGCTCCTTGACGCCGACATGCCCCATACTCCACAAAATCGCAACTGAGTACCCGTCCTCGCCGATGTTTATGGGCCAGCTCGCGTTCAGCTCACCCGTCGGGGAATGCACATGCGAGAACTAACTAACAAATTAAAGCAATCTCCGATCGGCTGCGGGGATGGACATTCGATTGTAGACCGAAAGCCATACGCTAATATTAATTACCTGCGGTATGTCAAAAATTTGCCGGAATTATCGATGGTAAGTAATTTCGTCTCCGGTCAAGCTGCTCAACGCGCCCAAGTCCCATATTTAATCATTGAATGATTCAACAGCCCTCGTCTGCTTGCACTGAAATAGTATTGGTGTCCCGGAAATTTAATGGTCTGTCGTAACTCCCCTTCCCTCAAGTACACTCGCAGACCCTTTATATTGACAAACCAATTACAAGGTTGATGGTAGATCACGTGGTCGTGTTTCCTCGAGTCTCGGAAATGACTCGGACTTCCGTGTTACCGCGTTTCCTTGGTTCAATGTTTCCGCGTTTCCTTGTTTAAATATTTCCACACACTCTTCCTCACTCACTGTCTTGCTCAGCTTACATTATCTATTCCTTCCTGACCCACCTACCCTTGACTGATTGGATGACTGGACAAGCTGACTTAGCTGACCGTGGTTGACCGACCCGTGCTGACTCAGGTGGCGTGCCCGTTTGAGGCACGGCTTCTCCACAGCCGGAGACAGCGCGGGATTTGCGTCCGATTGCTTCGTACTCCGTTTCTTCGCGTGTTCCGCCCGGGAGGATCCGGATCCGGGTGGATGATCGAGCCCGACTTATAAATCTCGAGGGCAGGTCGAGGACCTCCGCTTACTGCTGACCTTCCATCTTTGATCACACCATCAATATCTGATTTTCTCCCTTCTCCTCTTCCTTCATCTCTTGGCCCAGTCGGCTCTAAAAATTCACCCCGAAATTTGCTGGGAACCGGGAGGCACCGCGCACTCCAATTCCCAAGTCTAGAATCCATCGCAATCCCAGGCAGCCCCCTAGTCATATGCCAATGACTTCGATGTTGCTGGACCATCTACGTTCACTTGCCAATGAAGGGATAGAAAGCAGGCCCACAACCAAATAATAAGTCCCGAGGACCAATGATTTCCTTGCCCTCGCGGACCCTGCAACAGCCGGGTCAACCGTGAGACTCCAGAGACTAGTATTTGTACTCCCTTGGAATGTAAAATCCGCACTCCTTCGCACATCCCTCTTTTTGCGGTCATTGCCTTCATCTCTGGAATTATGCCTCATTATCAAGAGCTGCATGATCAGATACCCGCAGTTCTTCTCCTTCACAGGTGCTCGCCCTGCAAATATTGTCGAACGCTCGACTCAATGGCAAACTCTGTGGGTGAATGTTCGAACAGATATTTGTGGGCCCAGTGTGCACTCAGGCGTCCTTGATCATCTCGACATCAGACAGATCGTCTCGAGCTCCCGTTGCTGGAGAATCAAAGTGTAGTTCCAGAGCTGTATATATTACATGACCCCCTCTTTTTCCACCTCAGGAAGAACCACTCGCTATATGGACTTCGCACTCCCTTTCGATGTCAGCATTGAAACCACTATCGGTGTGCACAGATATCAATGCTTGCAGTCTGAGGCTCTCACTCAATAATCTCTTTGTTTTGCAGGTGCCCTCGAAATCGGTATCCTTGTCTCATATGCGTTCTTCAGGGTGACAACCACGCAGACGTATATATATTACAGCCGCTTTCTGCACAACCCAAAGAAAACCAAAGCTTTGGTGAGTGCAACAACAGAATGCAGAGGAAAAGCTGACTCTCATGATGCCCAGGTCGCGTTTGTCTGGTAAGCTCACCCCGCCGCTTCTGTGCACCTTAGCATGTAGCTTAACCTGTAAACCACTGCGTTCAGACCCCCCTGTAGACAGGTCTGCCGGATCCCGATAGGCAGATGCGTAGGCAGACCAGTGTGCTGACCCCTGCCAATCTGTCCACCCATCCCTGCTGTGGTTGGTCTAGGTATTCTGACCAGAATAGGCACACATAGACTGACGTAGGCTGATGAGCCTAGCTAAGCCTAGTTAGCCAAATTCAAAATCCGACATGGTTTGTACCCGTCCAGCCATTCCAACCGACACCAACCTAGACCCAGGTTGGCCAAGGTTGGCCAAGGTTGGCCAAGATAGGCACACCACTGTTGGCGAAGATCTACCAAGGTGGGTAGACTTTGCCTTGGTAGGGTGCTAGACCAACATTGGCCAACACCTATTAATGTCGACCAACGTCGGCTTGAGTGGGCAACCCATAGGCGGAGATCGGCAAGGGTGGGCACATCTGTGCCTATGGGGGGGTCTGAATGCAGTGAACAGGGTTTGTGAAACGGCGCATGCGCTTTGCCTCGGACACGCGCTTTATGTGTATACTATCTCCAATTTCGCGCACCCAGAACGCCTACTTGGCGCCCCGCCGAAATCCCTCGCCACGACTATTTTCTTGACAGGCATCGTCGAAGCATGCGGTAAATACTTCCTCTCAGCCCAATACTGTCTTCGCTCATGAGCCACACGCGATAGTGCAAGGATTTTTCTCGTTCCGAATCTACGCCCTTTCAAAGCCATTGTACATCCCCATCCTCACCTGGGGTATGGCGTTCCTACGCCTACCGTTATGTGCAGCGATCCTTGTTGAGTGTCTGGGGTTTACCACGCTGCTGGATATCACCGACGCGAAATGGCAATGGCTCCTCACGGCAACGTGGAGCATAAGCGCGGCGAACAATTTGACGGTCACGGCAGCGCTGGTGGTCCTCTGCCGCCAAAGCCGAAATGTACATAAGAGGTACTGCTTTTTCTTTTTCTTTTTTAAGTCCCATGTGCACACAATTTACCTCACGCAGAACAACGGCACTGGTGGATAAACTTATTCTGTGGACCATAGGTTTGTCGAGCGATGGTTTTTGAATATGCATACTACTCGGCTCACAATTTATGTTGCAGAGACGGGGATGTTGACAAGGTTTGTTTTGCTGCCTGCTGCTCACATCTCGCACCGTTTTAAAAGTATTCCAGTGCAGCGGCGATCGTCATGCTAGTCTGTGTATGTACCCTTCAACTGTGGCCTGCATTCCTATTTTCTCATCTGGATCTTTCTCGTTTTTCCACAGTATGTCACCATGAAAGACAACTGTATGCGTGCGAAATCAACAAGGGACATGCTAACTGATGATTATTTGCAGTCATCTGGGCTGGAGTGTTTAGCGTTGTCCCAAGACGTGAGTCTCTTTCGGTATAAAGGCCTCAAGGCCGCTATCTAACTCCCCTCCACAGTCTTTTCGAGCACCCTTCTCGCAAGGTCAGCGATGTCTCATAGTCGAAACTAAGAGTTAATGCGGGCTTTCTATGCAGTCTGAACTCCAGGGCGATGCTCCGCGCATTGAACG